AAAAAACAGCTGCCCTTTTTTTTAAACATGTATCTTGCAACACAATAAACTTGTATTACAAATTTCCATTTAAGAAATTTTTTGTAATTTTTTAACTTACATTTTTTTTTTTTTTTTTTTTTAAGTTATTTCAATTTGTATTATAAAAATTAAAATATGAAAATCTTTTTTAAATTATCAAAAAATTATAATAAATGAAAATTCAAATTATTGTAAATTTGTATAATACAATTAAAAAAGGTTTGGACATTTTTATTTTCTAAAATTCCATATGCAAATAATTTTAAATTTTTTTAATGCAAATAAAACGAGGGGGAACGTTGTGAGTTGCTGCGGACACCGCAACTCTACGGTTATACCCGATACTAAGTCAGTATGGCTCTCCTCCGGCAGACGCCGCTAATATTTAACGACACGACAAAGAGTGCGTGCGAGAGAGACAGAAAATCAGTCTGAGCGTGACGTCGGGCGCTGCGTAGCCACTGCAAATTGATTTGTTCCTTTTGGCTAAAAAAATGGTCTGATCTGATCCAGATTCAGCAATCTAATAGATATGGTTATTATCTATGATTCTGCGTTTTTAGTTTTCTCAAATCTGCAATATTGTGGATGCAACAGATTTTCGTCCTTTGTGGGGGCGGATGGGGGTGGGGCGAAATTCTGAGATATACGTTTTATAGTGAGATCTAACAGAAGTGCGGATACCAAATTTGGTTACTCTAGCTTTAATAGTCTCTGAGATTTGTGAATATCCCCAGATTTGCATTCTTTGCGGGGGCGGAAGGGGGTGTGGCGAAATTTTGAAACAAACTCGTCTCGGTCCGATATATTAGGAGTGTGGATACCAAATTTGGTTGCTCTAGCTTTTATAGTCTCTGAGATCTAGGCGCTAATGTTTTACTCTAAGCAAAGCCGCCTATGCTACGTGTGTGTTAGAGAGAGACAGGGCGAGAAAAAATGAAATTGTTTTCTTGATGCTGGCTATAATAATAATACGATCTAATTCAGATTCTGCAGTCTATAAGATATGGTCATTTTCTACGATTCTGCGTTTTTGGTTTTATCTTATCTTTAAAATTGTGGATGCCACAGATTTTCGCCCTTTGTGGGGGCGGAAGTGGGCGGGGCAAAGTTTTGAAATATTTTTGTAGCAGTGACATATCACAGAAGTCTGGATCCAAAACATCGTTGCTCTGGCTCTTATAGTCTTTGAGCATTAGGCGCTGAAGGGGACGGACAGACGGACAGACGGACGGACGGACAGACAGACAGGGCTCAATCGACTCGGCTATTGATGCTGATCAAGAATATATATACTTTATAGGGTCGGAAACGATTCCTTCTGGACGTTACACACATCCACTTTTACCACAAATCTAATATACCCCAATACTCATTTTGAGTATCGGGTATAAAAAGGTTTAACACATTTTTGTTTTTAAAAATTTCATATAGAAACTATTTAAAATTGTTAATATTCAAAATGAATTTTAAATATCTCTGGAACGTGGAGGTGTCTATCAAAAGATAGCAAATATACGGATTTTGGTTTTTTACATATTTTTCAGTTTTGCTTTTCGTTTTTTGAGGTCCCTACGGGTTGTAGTACTTGGACATATTTTTCAGTCTTTAGAGGTTCTGGAATCTTAACCGTTTCAGTTTCAATATGAACCTCTAGGCATCTAAGAAAAGATATATATCCATGGCGATGGCGATGTCTTTTCCAATTGTCGAAACTGTGCGAACCACTCAAAATAATATCATAATCACGGACAGATGTCATAGAGAGAGAAGAGCCATTAAAATTCAACCTGAAAATACTTATGTTTTTTAATATTAAAAATAAACGTGAACCAGCCACCCACGAACCCAATTGTTGTTGTTTTTATTTCATTTCATTTCACAGCAATTTCTGTGTACAGCCAGCCGGCCAGCGAGAGTATTAGTGGTATATGTCCTCTATATACTCGTATAGCAGCATAAAGCACAAAACAACCGAATATTTTAATTAGAGTATAGATAAAAAATAGCAAAAACAAACGAAAGAGACAGCTGAGGGGGCGGGAGGGGGAGGGGGACAACAGCAACAAATATTAACAATAATTATACCCCAAAAATATCAAGAGGCGACACCTATTCCATATAAATTTTAGCTTTCCTTCGGCACAGACTCGATAAAAATAACATTCCACACAGAGAAAGAGAGAGGGAGAGGGAGAGAGAGAGAATCTGCGACAGATCGGGGAAGTGAATCTTGAATCTATGGATAGTACATAGCCCACAGCCCACAGCCGCCCCCTTGGAGAGGGGACGGAGGCCCCTCTAAGTTTCGGGTAAAAATAAATACAAATGTCGCCGGCATCAATAAGATATAAATTAAAAGTGTACTACAATCCCAATGTTAATTAGAGACTCACGAGAAGAGGGGCGTAGCCAAGGGAGGGGGCAGCCCAAGCAGGCCAAGGTGGAGGTAAATGGTACATGGAAGTCCCCACCACTCACCCATAGATCCAGCGATCCACAGGGCTATCCGGAACGGAGCGAAACGGAACCGTATCGTATCGTATCGTATCATACCTGCCCCTACCACACGACACGTTCCCCACTCGGTATCTCGCCCTTTACTCGCTCCACTGCAAGCGTCTGACATGCTGTCGTGTATCTATTAGATACATTAGCCGCCGCCGCCTGCCTGTGGAATCTTTGGGATCGCTTGCAGCGTCGCGACAATTTCGAGTGTTTTTACGCGTAAATTTATTTTGTTTTTGTCGCGTTCAATAAAGTTGCATCTGCCGTGGGCCACCTTATAGCTTTCCAGCCCCCGAAAACTTTATTTATTCCAACCTCCAGAAGCTTAATGACTTCCTGGAGGGGCGGCGGCTGCCCCTCCCAGGAATGAGAGGGGGATTATAGTGCGGTAAAAGTATATATGGTACCTACTATATATGTTATGTGTTTAGGTAATATATGGTTGGGTTCTGGTGGGGGGAGTTCTTGAAATTATTATATATAGTGCGTTCTATAATTTATCCAAGGCCCAAGGAATTCCTGCCGAGCACATGAAAGGGGAAGAATATTTATAAATCAAATGCGAGTACTATTATTATATGTTACTCGAGTTTTGGCCTAAATTCTAAATTTTAATGGAAGATCTGGTAGGAAGAACATTTTTGTGAATTTTAAAGTTGAAGAAGAAGTGGAATTTTATTCAAATTTGAATGATTTTCAGCTATAATTAAACATTTTTTAAAGCTACTAATCATTCGAACTAATTTTAATTAAATTTAAAGGAAAATCTGCTCGTTAATTTGTTCAGTTCTCAGATTTTTTATACATTTAGTTGTGGCTGGATTAAAAAATAATAAATACCCTGTTCTTTAGTTTCTTTAGATTCAAAAAGATCTGACTCGTTCGAATCCTTGCCTTTCAGTGATTCACTTTAATAATTCCGTTTTATTCAATGATTCAATTCGAAGAGGAACCGATTAATCACGTGCCCATAGGGTCCATAGGGGGGCCCAAGTGAAAAAGCAAATACTTAAATAATTCTATTAAAATATTTATTTATTTTACAACAAAATAATTTTGATCACAGATTAGAGCACATGTTCTCCCCATCGTCTTACGAATATCAATGCAATCTGTATCGTATTACTCACTCCGAACAACTCAATTTCTATTTATATGGCCATATCCCATTATTGTCACTGATTTATTGAAATCCGTTCGACACTTACGTGGTGGAAAGTCCGCTGACTGATTGAAATAATTTACTGATCAGGTACTGCCTTAGAAATCATATGATATAATCAAGCCATCCGAGGGGGAGAGTCACCTGAGATGGAAATATCAAGTGCTTGAAGAGATGGGAATACTAAAGGCCGTAAATGGGGGTTAGGTGTACGAGTATGTATTATATATTTAAATATGTAATACTTATGATTTGGAGCTCTATAAATTCTTCAAGAAATCTTTCTTTAATTCCCCTGTCTCTATTTTGTTAATTTCTAAGCCAAATTATAGGAAGAGGCGCAGAAATTCCCCATTCAATGTATGGGTTTATTATTTATTGTTTTTTTTTATACATATTTACTATTTCTATATCTTCCGATATAGTCAGAAAATTAAAGTAAACTCGGTTTATTAGAGTAAATATATGATTGGGAATTATTTTATATAATTTATATAATTAGGAACTATTTTATATTTTATATAATACCATATTCGAAACAACACAGGCTGAATGGTTTTTCTTAGATTTATCGTTTTTTTTTTGTTACAAATATTTAATTAAATTGGAGATATACATATTAGTTCATATTTTTCCATATTTAATGTTACTAATATTTCATTAAGTTGTAGATATATTAGTTTATCTTTTACCATATTTAATGGCACAAATATCTGTTGTAGTTTTGGCCAAAAGAATTCTTAAATTCAATTGGTCGCCTCTTTCCTCATTCGGAGCTGCTCAATCTTTTCCCACACATGCTCGTATACTCGCACTCGCACTCGCCTTCGCACTCATATTCGGAGTCGGAGTCGCCGTCGGAGTCGGAGTCCGAGTCGAAGTCAAAGTCGGGAGAAGCAAGCACACAATCTGATTGTGTGGCTTAGATAATAGTCGCTTTGTGTGTGAGTGCTAGTGTATGTGTGTGTGTGCTTGTTCATGTGTGCGTGATTGCTGTCCATTCAAAGATATTATTGTATCTGTGTGTCCATCAGCGTGTGTGTGTGTGTGTGTGCGTGCGGGTTCGGGCCTAAAAAATACCAAAAAACAAAACACACAGACACACGCGGGCGCGAGCACACACACCGAAGCCAACAACGGGTCATGCGGGTGGGCAGGCGAACATGTTCGAGCCAACACGTTTGGCGGCGAACAATCGGCTGGCATGCAACCCCAACCCAGACCCAAACAGTACACCGCACATCTGCGAGATACTTTTCCGCCTCGAAACAAGAATTCTTATTACGCGCTCGGAGTAAAATTCCAGCAATCAGACGGGCAGGTTCAAGTGCGGCATTACCACCGATTTTCCCTTTTTACTGTTTACTTTTTACTCTTAACTGAGATTTGCATTTGTTTTGGTTTTGGACTCGCACGTTTTCTACCAGCAAAAAATACAAAATTTATTAAACGAAATAAACAAAATAATAACAATACAAAAAATAAACACAGCTGAGATTAATTTTAAAGAAAACTATCAGTGCAAATACAATACAAAATACAGTGATAATAATATATAAATAAATAAACTATATTTCTATAATTTCTATAAACAAAAATAATACACATATTTATTAAATTAAAGATACAAAATTCTGACTAAATAAACAAAACATTATTCACAACAGTTGCCTCTAAAAATTCAAGATTTTACTCAATAAGAATTGTTTGATAGTCTTACATTAGAAAACCAAAATAATATCTCAACAAAAACTATCTTTTCCGAGCTTTGAGTGACAAAAAAATATACATTAATTTAAAAGAGTTTTATTACGAATAAAACTATATTTTTCTTTGATTAACTTTGATTATACTTTCTGTAAATAAACATAAAAATATATAAACAATTATAGGGCTTCAGTGGAAATGCATCTGCGACACAAATAAACAATCTAAGTGATTTCCAGTGAAAATGCAAACCGAAATCATATCGAAATACAAAACTTCCTCTAAATCAATCAACAAATTAAATTCTATTCCAAAAGTGCAATAAGAAAAACATAATTTAGAAAAAACAACAAAAATTCCACAACCACCTACGAAAATGAAACAAATTTTCAACAACAATTACAGAAAAAACCCACAAATAAATGATTCAACAACAATCACGGCAAATGCAACACCAACAGCAACAACAACAACAAAGGCAGCAACAGCAATCACTGCAGAAATTCAGCGGCAACAAAAATCATTAAGCGTCGGCAATTTGGCATAAATAAATAAAAAATCCCAGTTGCTGTGCGTTTTTTGTGTGTTGCTTTTTACAACCTGATTTTTATGAATGAATGCAGCGCTACAGAAAGAGAGAGAGAGGGAGAGCGGGGGAGAGAGAGAGAGCGCTAGAGAGTCGCGTGCAAAGGAGTCGCGCTTGTGTCCCCTAGAGTCAACCCCCCACCCCCGCCCAGCTCCCGCAGGCGACTCACACGCTGAAAGCTTGTCACGGATTTGTTGTATTTGTTGTCCGTCTGTCAGCGGCTGTCTGTCGTCAACGTTGACGTCTACTGTTCCAACACAAAGAGAGAGAGAGGCAAATAGAGAGAGGGGGAGAGAGGAAGAGAGATAGAGAGCGCGCGACATACCAGCGGCAATTGTTGTCGTTGCAAAATTAATAACGGAAGTTGTGCATTTTATTAATAAAAAACGAAACGAAACGACAGAGCGAAAGAGAGAGAGAGAGAAGCAGATTCACAAACCGAATCTGAATCGGAATCTGAATCCGAATCAGAACACGACACAAAAGCAAGGCAAAATCAAAGGCAAAATAGCGGAAAAGCAACTACAAGCAAAACAAAAAACAAAAAACAGGCGGAAAGTGCAACCCCAAACCCCAAGAGTTACCTACTGCTGGCATTGCCTTTGCTGCTGATTCCCAGCTGCAGTTTGGTATTTGGTATACCCTGTACTGGCAGATGGGAGGGGTAGGCAGAGCCACAGGGACTTTGAAGGCTAGACACAGCCCATAGAACTTCTCCAAAGGCAGCCTCCTTTAGATCCAACATGCCACAACTACATATACCCGTATATAGTCCTATAGTTCCAGAAGTTTTCACCAAAGATATCATAGACATTGCAAGAGTGCCCTCCGACTCCCTTTTAGAACCTTTTCTGCCCTTTAGCGGGTATCCCCTAGTCGTCAGGTCTCCCACAAACTCCAGAGTTCCTGTTGTTGTACTTTTGGTTGTTGTTGTTGTTGTTGACGAAATTGTCAAAGTTGGTGTTGTTGGTGTCTCATGCCCTTCCTCTTACCGTTTTCCCTTTACAGTTTTGCCGCTTGTGCAGTGTTTGTCCCCCCGCAGGAGCGCATTGAAATCAAACTAAATTCTAAATCGGCGAGAAAATTCGTGTCTAATCATTTTGTAAAACAGAAATAAACCCTATTTGCTAAACTTCCTCGTTCAAACAAAACACAAAATTGCCAGCAAAATAACGCTCGTGTTTCAAAAGTGTTCAAATTATACAATTGTGTCATCGATCGACCGCCATTGCCACAAACATCAAGTAAGCAAAACATCAAGTGCTACGCAAGAGAGCTGCACAGATCACAGAAGGAAACGAGCTTAGAGCAGATACAGATACAGATACAGTGCCAGCGGTAAGTTTGCTACAATACATGTGCTACGAAATTAGCTAGCAGATATTCAGGCAGTGAATCATGTGTAATTTTGAACCAAGAATTTCTTAGAAATTGTGTACATGAGTTGTACCAATGACTAGGCAGTTTATCCCATTTAAAAGAGACTATGTTTTAGACTATATAGACCATAGAGACTATAGAGACCCCATGGCTTGAGACCATGTCTCTTAGGAGGCCATAAGCGTGTTAACAGGGCTCTCCACCTAGATTGTGGGAGTATGTACTTGCAGCCAAGAGTAGCCAAGCTGTAGACCAGTTTCTCCATCATTATTCTATAAGAAAAATTCGGTTGAAGGGGTGTCTTATATCATTCTTGAAGTACTTAGTACCTATAAGTATTACGCTATAATAGAACCCTAGATATCGATTAGAAACTTTGAAACTTTTATGATAAATCTTCAAAAAATAAAAGAAAAATTTGGGATTTATTTTCATGTGAAATCTTCATTACTTCGCCTTGAAACTAGAAGAGGTGTGGATGGTATCCCATCAATTATTAAGGGATTATAAGCTTTCATAATGAATATTATGGGTAAATGAGGAATAGACAAGAAAGTGCCACCAATTTTCACGAGAAGTCGTTTCAAAGTCTAGTTTCAAAATAAAATAGCAGCTATTTGGAATATCTCTTGTTCCTTAATTTCCTTCGAAAGCCAACAATTTAATTGTTTGTAATTGTTTAAGAATTTCCCTCGATTTCATTGCTTATAATTTTATAAAAAATTCCCCAAAAGTGAACTTATTTCTGCGATTGGTTTTAGGTTTTATTTTTTTCCCCCTTAAAAGTAACCCACTTTTGTTTTACAAATCTTTTTGCTTGCCCATGGTCTTTATTTGCGATCTCTCCCGATGATCGTTAGGCTAGTTTTATTGCGTTGAAGTTTCTTTTGAGAATTAGGCACGATTATGATGGATCCGAGGTATGGACCCTTGATGGTGTCCTCTTCAGTGGCACAGATCCATTTATCAAATCTCCGCATTTTGGGGAATTGCCAAACTTCTTTGGGGGTTCGCAGTGGCAGTGGCAGTGGCAGTATATGGGCAATAATGGTAATAGCAGCTAATGAACAGAGTCACAGTCGGAGTCGGAGTTGGAGTTGGAGGTCGGGGGTCTTCGATACCGAATGCCGAGCGTAAGTGTAGATTCCTCACCGCGACGAGTGTTGTCTTTGGGCTGTCGACTCCCCAGCATCGAAAACAAACACAAATAGAAGTGGAAACACACATGGGGCAACCAGGAGGTAGGGGAGGCACACAGAATGCAGAGGAGTCGAACAATTAACGCGTCGCTGTAATTACAGCAAATGGTAAAAAATTTTTGGGAACAACTTACCCAAAAAACACAGAAAAAATAACACAAGAAACAGAGGGGGATAGTAGAAGAAATATTAATAATCAATAACCCGCTAAAAGGCAGTGCTGGCTCTGGGTCGGAGTCGGTCGAGTTGGTCGCGACGGTTGAGGCAATTTTATCGGTCATTGAACGACCTGATACATAGATACACAGATAGATAGATAGATTTCCAAGCGAAAAGCCACGAAAGGTGCGCTCCGCACCGCACAGTCGGTGCTGCTGGAAATTATGCCAAAAACCTGGGCATTTTTTGTTGGGGTAAGAAGCAGCGATCGGTTTTTGGTTAATTACCCCGGCTAGGGCCCCAAAGACCCAGGCTCCGTTAACCCGAAGGGGGCTATGGCAGGGGGCCAAGGCAGTTAATTACATAAAAACAAGTGATTTGCGTGTGCGCTGGCTGCCTCTCTGCCCAACGGCACCGCCATCGTCTTGGGCTCCGTCTTGGGCTTCGTCTTGGGCTCCAGCGTCAGCTCCAAAAATTATTCCCCTGCTTTCGGGGCTTGGGTAATTTTCAACTCGCCAACTTTCGGCCAAGCTAATTAGCGGAGAAAATATTTCGTAGAAGATAGAAGGTAGCAATATTCAATAATTGAAGCCCATAGGTGATTGGGATAGGTGTCCGTGTACAGGTGACCTTTGGCAGGGGGCTGCTACTACCCAACATTCCTGTCTAGATGCTGGGGTAGGAGATACTGAAGTCCGTCTTGAGGTTCACAGAGCACTTTCTCGTATATTGCTTCCTTGATTCCCTTCCAATAGCTTTCTTTTGAACTACTTTCTTGTACCTCCTTCAGTGTACTTTGAGCCCGTTTATTACCCTTTTTATTGCCAAAAATTGCACTATGTCTCATGATTTACACTGTGGCGGAATGGTATATGGTCTCTGGGCCTCCTTCTGGGGGAAAAGGCCTTCGAATAAGTCTTCTTAAAGTCCCTAAAACGGTTCCACTCTACAGTTTTGTAGATTCTTTAAGACTCTGGATTACTATATTATTTTAATTCAATCAAATTGTATTCAAACCAATATTCTTCTGCGTTCAATCTTAATGTAGCCATTAATTGGAGCTCATTTCCCTTGGTTAGCAATAAATTGAGTTACATTCCATTAAACTTTATTGCAGTTTACCTGGAATTGTTATTGCCTAATCTCTAAATCGAAAAGAATTTAATATGAGTAAATTTTTGCCCGATCCATATTCCCTTCTATATATTCCTGTACCATTCCTGTCCCTGTCTCTGTCTCAATCGTCATTTTCTCAGGTCCCAACATCTCGTGACCTTTGGCTGGCGCCTTCTACACCCCCCTAGTACCCTCCCCCCTTAGTGCCCTGCCCAGCCTTACAATTTATCATAAAAAATAAAAGTTTTTTGGCTTTTTTACGAACCTTTTCATGGGGTTTCGCCCCCCTGCGGTCATGCAGATGGAGGGATGGACAATCGGCGCCGCGGCAGCGTTCTAGATAAATAAGCATTCTTAATTATCCCTTTGCCTTCTCGTCTCGGGGTGGCACAAATGTTATAAACAATGGAAAACCGCGCACTTAATGCGTTTTCTGTTTCCACAAGCAGCAAAAAAAGCAACAACAGGGCAAGTATTTTTCTTCATATTATTCATTATTTTACCCACAAAAAAAAAAAAAGAAAAGGAGAGAAAGAAAATGTTTTTATTGCCTGCGAAAAAGGGCTGCCATTAGCCGCAATCCGTGGAGGATGTGGCCAAGGACCCGCCGACCACAATACTCGTAATTCCAATCAAATTTGAAGAACAACAACGCAACATTCAAAGTGGCCCAAAGATATGGCCAGATATGACCGAAAGGGGGTCGGGTCGGGTCGGACTGCCAGAAATGTGCCGTCGGTGAACGTGATTCCCCGTGCTGGCTGACAGGCCAGTGACTCTTCATTTTTTTGTTCTCCTCTCTGTTCTGTTTGCCTCGCATGTGAGCAAATGTGTAATTGAAGTTCCGCTCTCGAAGGATACTCGTACAGAGAAAGAAGGGACCGTCCGACCGGTTCAATTGTTTCCTTTGTGCCAAGCAATTTCACTCACCGGCGGCGCCTTGGACAAGTCGCGATTGCTCCATGACTTGCCACAAATTCTACCAAAAAGTGCACAAAAAATGCACTTACAGGGGAGGTGGGGTGCAGTCGAATGATGTGGCACTTTATCCGTGTTACCTGCAAAAGAAAGACGAAAATCCTTCAAAAAAAATATTGTTAAAGGAGCCAAGGATTACCAGTTTGAGGCTCAGTGCAGTGACTCTCCATCGATTCGTTGGAATATTCCCAGCATAATATTTGCGATGGGTAAATGGAAGAAAAAAAAGATAGTTTTGAAAGGGCCACAGAGGTGGGCATTTCTTGTCGAAATTATTGTAATATTTGCACAAGAAAAAGGTGTAGTCCGTGTTTATCGTAGCTCCTTCTCTCCATCTTTATCGATTCTTCGATAACATATTTTTGATGTGGTATAAAATCATCTATAACTGATAAGTAACTTATTATAAATCCCCTAATCCCAGATCATTGTAGATCCCCACCTTTTTATATGCTAGAAGGCGCAAAATTCCACAGTTCGATTAATCGCTTAAGCTCGATTACTAATCGGAATGCGAGCCCAGTGTTGCCTTGAAGGATCATCCCTCACCGTAAGCCGTAAGACGTAAGCCGCCCAACGTAAACATTTGCCGTTACCATTGCAGATATTTTGGTTTCTTCTGCCACTGTCGCTGTCGCTGCTGCTGGCTCTGTCGCGCCGCTGCCGTTGCCCAACCCACGACCTAAAAAAAAAAGCTGATTTCTATGTGGGCTGCCATGTGTGTGTGCGAGTGTGTGTTTAGTATTATCAAATGCAATTTTCTAACGCAGTCGCACTTTCAACGATGACAGCAGACCCCTCTCCCCTCCCCCCCCATTGCCTAACAAACAATTGCAATTTTAAGTGAAAATAAAATGCATGACAACAGCAGAAGTAGCAGAGCAGAGCGGCGGCAGAGCAGAGCAGCAACAACAATGCATGCCTAAAACCTAATAAAAATTCAAATTAACATTTGAAAGAGCGAGCCAGCAAATAGACCGACCTGCAAGCGACGGAAAGAGAGGGCCACAGACAGAGAGAGAGCGAGCGAACAAAAGAGAGCAGTGCAGGCCGGCCCGCCACTGGCAGAGCCTGCACATGAACGGCGGGGGAGGGGGGCTGACAGAGCGGGAGCGACCCAACAGAGATGCAGCCGAAAAAGCTTATGAAATTCTATTAATTTTTGAACAAAACTGAATGTAGACCCCCCCGAATGAACCCCCCTGCGTCCACCCATGGGCAAGCCTCTGCAGATTTTCTAATCGCCCATCGACCGACGGCAAACGAATGGTCCCGATGCCGAGGCGTCCAAATATTGTGATACTCTGGCGGAGGCGAGTGTGTCGATTGTGAGCTGCTCTGGAGCGTGGAAACGAACGAATCTGCCGTCGAATCAAGGGCCCCAGCGAGGGCAGGGTATCAAATCTCCCGCTACCGAAGCCTTCGGTTCGTGGCTCTTGTTGTTTGTTGTTTTTGCGTATTTTGTTGCACTTTTAGTTTTGTTCTTCTTTCTGTTTTAGTCGCTCG